GGAGAGCCTCAGTCTTGTTGACATTCAACTGTAGAAAGTTAGCTCTCATCCAGGACTTGATGTCTGACAGATATTCTGTCAGGACAGCAGTGGTCCTGGAGTCGAGGGTGGAGGCAGAGAGGTAGAGTTGGATGTCATCCCCATACATGTGGAAATTGACTCCATGTCTGTGGATGTTAGCCTGCCTCAGTTTATAGGTAGGACTCTTACCTCTGAATCAGAATGTTATGGGTTCAAGCCTCAAATTGGGACTTGGAAGCTCTATGTTGGGATATTGAACTCATATAGTCCAGGTTGACACGCCAATGTAGTGCTACTTTGTTGGAGATGCTGAGTTTGCTAACAAAATGCCCAATAAATCCTGTGAAGTGTTTTGAGTTGTCCTCCAGAATGTAAGGCACAAGAGGAAATGCAATGATGACTATTATTAATAAATCCTGTGAAGCATTTTGACATGTTTTGAAAACATGCTAAAGCACTGTATCAAATGCACGGAACTGAAATATGTCTACCATGGCACCCATGGCCTCAGGATTCAATGTGAAACAACAAACTGGCAGCGGAGTGCAGGTTGGTGAAAATTAAAGATGAGAAGAAATTTGTGGCATTTCATGATGCATTCGTTGTGCTAACTAAAAGCATATGAATAAAGTGCACTGCGTTTTTCTGATCTGAAACTAAAGGAAAATCTGAAGTGAAATGTGTAGAACAATATGTTGCAATACTTGTATAAGACACTGACATTTAGAGCTACAGTTGCTGAAAGCAAAATCAATTCACATCACATCCAGCAGGTTTCACTTTGACAACGACCACGTGAATTTAAGTTGCAAACGTTTATTTCTGCCACCGGGACAAAATCTTAATTTATTGAAAATTTTTATGATGTAAAACTCTTAATTACACCACAAGCAGAGCAAAGGACCCATTTAGACATGGTGTTTTATAGAGTATCTGCATTAAGGAGGGAACCACATGTGTCTTAGAAATGTCTGTAGTTAGAGAACAGCACTGCACAAAAACACAAGTGCCATCGGCCCCAGGAAGTGAGTGCACACTCCAAAACAATCACGCAAAATTCTATTGTTATGGGGTTTTCAGTAGCTTGAGCACACTATGGCTTTTCTGAAATGTGCCAGGCACCCAGCTGAGCATTCATTGCTGCTAAGTTAGTAATCGTTTGTAGATTCCTTTGATAATTTGTTTAGCTACAGCATCTGCGAGCCATGCACAAAAACAGTCAAATTTTAAAAAAAGCTCTTCCGTTAAAGTAATTAGTCTCCATATGAGAGGGAAGGGATGATGACTTCTCCTCAGCTTCCACCTATATCATTCTTGAACCAGCCATTAAGAGGCTGTGATTCCCACAAATAATTTATTTGTGCTTATGTAAGCTTCAAATACGTTTGCTTATAACAGCGAAATCCCATTGTCTGCAGAAGCGAGTGTGAGAAACTCTGACATCTAGTTTGTCAGTCACTGCTGATGCCACTTAGTGCACCTTGCACAGAGTAAGTAAGGTTAGTGGAATTCTGACAGTCTTGTAGTTGGTAATTTTATGGTGTGGGAAGCTGGTGAATTAGTATCAGGCCTTGGTACACCACGTTTCCAGATAATGTAGTAAACCTGTGCATTAGGCAGCTCCATTACGAAGGGTGCTATGATGGGATTCTCCTGTAATATCTTCTAGACTGGAGAATAGAGGGAACGTTCACTTTTATTATGTCTCTTGCTATACTGTACAGAAATGAAAGTGAGATTGAAAGTGAGGATTTGTTGTTGGCTAAAGTCACTTTGGAGGCAAGAGGATGAATATTTTCTGAGGCGATGTGTATTTCCCTGCATTGCAAAACCGTCTTTGGTTTTATTTCACGTTCCAAGTGAGAGGCTTACTCACAATAACTATAAAGCTGTTACTCTGGCAACACTGATCACTGTGTGTTACGGGAACAACCAGTGACACCAGGCAGAAGGCATCACACCTGATAAATAGACCTATAGAACGACAAGTAAAATATACGCCATGCTTCAAGCAATACTTCAAGCAAAACATGCAAACGTGCAAATTCCAATGATCTAATTTGAACAGCAGAACCGTGAGGTTAAAGAGCAGTGGATATGAAAGTGAAGCATATCTTTGCTGATCCTGAGTTCACTCATTGTGTACATACTGTTTGAAGTGTTTTACTGATTCAGCTCTGTGGAAACTATCAGAAATGTAAATTGCCCCAATCTAACATAAGAGAAACCAACATACACTAAAATCATCAATACTTTCTTTTTGATATGGTGTTCATTAGCAAATCAAATAGTTATTTCTTGAAGCGATCCCTGAGGAAGGGCTTAAGTATTAATTATTCTTTTCTATTTACACTGTCCCAGAAGAATTGTAATGATGTATCTGATTGCCTTTAATTATCCTTCTGCACAACAGTGAATAAAAACCTGTTACTTTAAACAGCTCCACACTACGAAAGCCTTAAAGTATCCGCAGAATGTATGATGGTATTATTCTTAGCTTAACATCTGTTTAGGTAGAGGCAGTGTTTAAATTTGGAAATGAATGTCAAAAGTAAGGTGTTCTGTGTGAAAATACATCAGGATAATAAAACACTAGAAGCAATTCTTCCATATGCATCAGCATATTGTGAAAATACGTAAGTAGCACCGCTATTTGATTTTTTTTATTCTCTGACATTCTCAATATAAATTATCCTTGAGCCGTTCTTTCTTGCAGCGTCGTTTTATTACAATATAGACCTTTGTACTGTATGTTTCAATTTCTGATTCTTCATCATTAATAACTGAAACTTCATTCGTTTATTGATTTGGTTTGTTAACGTTTGTGATCAGGGTGAGAGATATCAGTGTTGATGACTGAAATGACATAATTCCAACACCACCATTTGTGGAGCGCCTTTCACGTCAGGAGGACGTCCCAAGGCGTTGGACAGTCTGGGATCCTCATCCAAACTGGTCGGGAGGGGTGGAGGGCAACAAAAACAGGGGTAGGAAGGCACGACTGAAGGCACAGTCGAAGAGGAGGGTCTTGAGACGGTTCTTGGGAGGAGACAAGGCAGAAGGACTGTGGAATGGAATAGTGGGGCAGGTAAGGTGGGGGACGTGAAACAGGCTGGAACCCGCTGAGCGGAGGGAGCAGACAGATTGGAGTAGAGGTAGCGGACAGAGGATTAGAAGATTACAGGGATTGGGAAGAGCAAGGCTGTGGAGGGTTTTGAAGGTGAGGACCAGGGTCTTGAACTGTACCCTCTGAGTGATGGGGAGCCAGTGGAGCCGGGTGAGGATAGCAGTTACACAGCGATGAAACTGACATGGATTGCTCACAATGCATTTTAAATTCGTAAAACAGATCAAGTAAATTGGAGCACTGTTTTTTGCAGTCTTCATAAATGTAGAATTTTACTAAGAATATCAGCTCCCAAATAATATTGATTTTCATCATTTGTTCCTTTCCTCTTTTCTTTACAAAATGTAGACAAATTATAACCGTAAGTCCATTAATGGACACATCTTCTTAAAGAAATATTCCTTCCACAAAAAACAAGCTACTGTGATAACTTGGAAGTAAATAAATAATATAAGTTTACCAGTGACACTCAATATAGGAAGGATCTATATTTTCAACTTGGAGTCCGTATTGAAGAATCCCATTACTAATTGCTGTAATTTAGATCCTAATCTTAACACCAAGTACTTATAAGTTCACAAGATTGTTTTGGCTGAAGAGGACACTTGGCACATCTGATCTTGTCCTTCCAGAACACACACCCTAATGTCTTCCTCACCACAGAATCAAGCTACTTATTAAATTAGTCCAGTGCCCTGGCCTTATGGCAAACTTAATCCAGTTGTGAATTGCGTTCTGGGTAAAGGAAAACATCCTTAACAAGAACAAGGCCCTCCTGAGTGCGGATCAATCAGAACTCTTTATCTATGTGCTCACCTGCACCAGGCTCCTTGACCCTGTCACATCCACCCTCGCCCGGCTCCACTAGCTCCCCATCCCCCAGAGGATAGAGTTCAAAATCCTTGTCCTTGGCTTCAAAGTCCTCCATGGCCTTACTCTTTTCAATCTCTGTTACCAGCTAACGTCATATAGACTTGTTTGTTCTCCCTCCGCTCAGCAAGCTCTGCCGAACTCCACACACCCCTTCACCCAGCCTCTTCACTGTTGGTGGTCGGGCCTTCAGCTTCTCTGCCCCCACCCTTTGGAACTCTATCTCATAGTCCCTTCACCTCACTCCCTCCCTTGCCTCCTTCAAAGCATGTTCAAAACTATTCCAATGGATAAAATGCAGCGTAAAGCTCCATCTATTCTGCACCAACTAAAGTGCCTTCACCTTGGAAGAGCAGCTCTACTTACCCAGAATTACATAGGCAGCCTTATTCTAAGCATGAACATTGCTCATAAGTGGCTGAGACACCCTAGCATTGTTTCAATTAGTGCTCAGATCTACAATTTTCTTTGATAAAATGAACTGAAACATCTTTAAAACCCACCTTAAAGCTTATCTTTTTGACTGTGTTTTTGATCACCTCCCCACTCTCCCTCCTGCACCAGCTTGAATATCCAGGCAGCTGTGTAATGTGGTTTGAGATGTCCTCATGATGTGAAAGGGGTTGTATAAATGTAAACTGTTGTTGATATATACGTTGATATCCAAACTTTACTTGATCCTTATAATCCATTGTTGTAACTTTTTAATTCACCTTAATAAGACCGCAAAAGGAATGCTGAAATAGTCTTGACTATGTTCACTCAGAAGAATGTCACCAAACTGCTTCCAGAAACATTGTAAATTTTTTGCAAGCAATCAGCAAATAATAATACCATGGGTTTCTGCTTTGGTTCCCTTTGCTCCGGTCAAGAACCTGTTGTATCTCAGCAGCCTTTCACATTATCAATAGAAACAGTGAAAAAAATCATGCAAACAAAGAATAAACAAACAAATGAACCAAAAGATTGGGGTTGTACATACGTGTTTTCCTGGCCGAATCTTCCACAAAAAGAGATGAGATATCTTCATCCACTCCTGCATCATTCTTGGCAATGCAAGTGTAAGCTCCTGTATCTTCATAGCGCACATTACTAATGTGCACCCCACTACCATTTGCTAAAAAAAGAAGATAAATTTAATATACTTCCTTACAATGTAGTTGACTTTGTCTGATAGCCCAGTTTTTGCAATGTACCATTTTGACCAAGCAAACAACATAGCAAAGTAGTGTGTCCATATCACTAGGACATGACCTGAAATACAAGTCATAATGTTGCGGGCTTAAGACCATAAGAAATTGCAAACCTCTGGAGCCTTGAAAGGGGAAGGAGGAGAAAATGTAAGACATTTTCTGTTATAATACAAGTCATTTTAACCTTTCTAACATCATTATCCTTTATTAAAGAATGGTAGACCTTGCTTGGTGATACTGCAATGAAGAATAAATTCTTTGACAAGTGCAGCTTTTCATTGAAACACATTTGACATAGTTTGTAGTCAAGCACAGTACTTTCCAAGGTTTTATGTATCACTGCAGTTTCCTCTGTTTTGGATCAGCATCCTTATCTATTCATAACAGAATGTTTTTTTGCAATTCAGAACTAAAATAATCTTTATTTTGAAGCTGACGATATTTGTTGAGCAGAACACATAATTCACAAGTGCCTAATTAAGTGGCTTTCTGTTCATAAATCATTGCTATACTTATGTGCATTTTGTCTTTACCAAATATACCAATCATTGTGATATTCAATATATTTTGTTTTAACAGAAAATGTCTTACATTTTCTCCTCCTTCCCCTTTCAAAGCTCCAGAGGTTTGCGATTTCTTATGGTCTTAAGCCCGCAAGATTATTTCGTCGTAAAATTTAAAATCACACAGAAATTGGATAGTTCTTGCATGAAATCATAATTTGGAATTAAGTTCTTTTAAAGAGCTGTGGAAACCGGCATCCAAATTACAACTTGATTTGAAAAAGTTTCCACAATTCTGTGTGATCTTAAATTCTAAGGCAAAATGGTCATATGGATAAAACTATGTATACATGATTCAGGACATCTGATGTCAAATATCATAGTCCATTTAAGACAATATGCTATGTCCTACTCCCAGACCTTTGTTAATACCATACTATAGCCACTAAGTGCTATATTTCATATTACTATGTGTGAGGTCTGAAGACTTCTGCAAGCCTCTGATGATGTTTGAGAGTGTGGAAAGCAGTCTCATCTTATTCTTGAGGCACCAGCATAACTCAGACTGAGTAAGACTGAGTTTTGTGTTTAAAAAAAATACATGTTATTGATGTTCCTTAAATAAGGAATAGAATGGATTTAGAAATAGCACAATTTTGAACCCATCCTTTCTAACAATGCGTGATCAAACTGAATGATGAGGCTTGATCAATGTTCAAATAGCAACAAGATAAGCTGTTTTAGTTTCCACTCTATCCATCTGCTTTTGGAACCAAATACTTTATTTGCTTTATTTTTGTTAGAACTAAGTGACAACAGTTCAATGATCTGTGATGATGTTCATAAAGGAGTATTAATGCCACAGTACAGCAAATTACTACTAATGTTTTTAACAATGTTGTTGAATACACATAAGGTATTTACACTCTTCTATGCACATTACACAGGGAGACATATTTCTTGTACGAAGGAACGGAATCTTGTAAAAACACAATGTTATTTTGCTATCAGTTAAAAACAACTGGAAGTATTTACACAGGGCTATCTGCAATGCCACATCCTAAACTCTCTGTTGGATCAATGTACAATAAACCATGATGAAAGAAAGATAGTTGGTGTGCCATTTACAATTTACACTGAGATTTTATTATAGGTATAGGAGGCATATCATATCAACAACCAAATAATTCATGTGCTTTGTGATTTTGGTCAGCAAAATAAAACTCTTAACATATACTGTTAGATGAGGTATTACCTTGCAGAGTGAGCTGCTTGGAAAGTTTAGGCATGATGTCAATACCATTCTTCAACCAAGTAATCTGAGGATTTGGAATGCCTTCAGCGTGACACCGGAGACTAGCGGTCACACCTGGTTCTCGAGCCTGGCTCTCTGGATAGACCCTAATGACTGGAGGAACTACGTGTGGAGTGGAAAAATAACAAGTCAGCATGCCACAGAGATTCTAAGGCAATCTTCACAATAATTAACACCACGTCCCTGGAGAAGGAAAGTTTTGCAGTGCAAATACCAACTACAAAATGTTTGAAGCTGTGGGCTTCCATTTGTGTAGAAGGTCAACTACCACCAGAATCCACGATTCAAAGGAATTACAAATTAATCAGAAACCAGGCTTATTAGCCTCAGTGCACTCTGTTTCCAGACTGAACGTTTGGCAGTTTCTAGTTACATAACGTTTGGCAGTTTCTAGTTACGTAAATTCTATTTGATGAGCACAATGAAATGATCAGCGACTGGGGGAAAGGCTACTTTCAACGGATCAAAGGAAGCAGAAATAGGAGGAGGCCATTCAGCCCAATAAGCCTGTCCCATCAGTTTATTAGGTTTTAGCAGATCTTTTTGATCCCAATACTCTTTCACTATACCCCTTAATACCTCAACTATTCAAGTATACATCTTTCTTTTAAACATATCTACTGATTCCTTATCTACAGCTTACAGTGTCTTCCACTTCTTCACGATCCTCAGTGTGAAGAAATACCTCCTGCCCTCATTTCTAACCATTTTTGTTTTGATTTTATGCCCTGCAATGGATCTCTCTACCAAAAGGAAAAATCATTCGCTACCTAACCTGTCTGCTCCTTTCATTATTTTAAATATCTCAATTGAAGCGCCTCTTAACCTTCTCTGCTGTAAGGAATATAATCTCATGTCTCATTATACAAATAATTTCTCATCATACCAAATACCCTTCCAAGTAGTCCAAGTATTAATCTAGTGAACCACTGGATGCCATCCAAGGATAATATATACTTCCTATGATTAGTATTCTAAACTGAACACTGTACTCTAAACCAGTTCTGACTAGTGCTCTCCACACTTGGAACACCACGTTTTTACTTTTCTATTTAAAAAGTAATTTAATTTTTAAAAATGAAATTAATTTTCACCCAAAAAATATAAAGTCAATTCACTTTGCAGTATATTCTTTGAAACATGTTGAGGTGTCTCAACAACTTGATAAGGCGCTATATCAAATGCAAAGATTATTATTATATTCTGGACCTCTTGGAAAAATGCCAGTAACCCATTTGCTTTATTGAACTGCCTTCTGCACCTGTGAATTAAGATCTATTAATTTTGGATCCCTAGACCATGCTGCTCATCTGCACTTCTATTTCTAAAAATGCCAGAACACATCTTTCTTAACTGTTTGCTTTCTCTCACCTAGTTACCAAATCTCCTATTTTTTTAATTAGTTATTTTAACTGATTAAATATCAGATGATTAAACATTTTTTTTAAGTTCTGATTCAAGCACCCTAACACTATTCTGTGAATTATTGCATACAATAAAAACAACAACAACAACAACAAGATTCCATTTATAGAGCGCCTTTCACGTCGGGAGGACGTCCCAAGGCGCTGTACAGTTGGGTCAGGACCCGAGCACCGGGGAAATGGTCAGGATGAGGGGAGGGAAGGGAGGGAGGTGAGGGGAGGGAAGGGAGGGAAAATTACTATTATAAGATGAACATAGTTTGGGCAATTGTTATAGGTGTTGCTGTAGTATCTCTTCCCCCTATTTGTAACTTCTCTTAACAATGTGGTTTATGAGCACACAGAACCCTGGAAAGGGCACAGCTGGGGCAGCAGAACACCAGACAATGGAAAGTTGACTGGATGTTAGGAATATAAGAAACTACAGAATGAGAAAAGGTCACTCTGCCCATCAAGACAATTCATTCCAAACGCACAAAACATGCTCCATCATGGCCCACTTTACCAATTTAATTTCCAAAATTTCTCTCTACTCTAATTGTAACCTGAATAAAATCTAATCTTACTTTGCATATTATTCACCGCTAAATGATCTCATGCACTGATATATTATTGCCTTCCTTCACATCTTGTCATTCCAGTATCATGTTCAAGAAATATCACATTCAACATAAATTTAATAATTTATTTCGATAAGTATTATTATAACCTTCAGTCTTGTGCCTAAATAGCTGTTTATTCATTTTTTTAAAAAAGATGCTAAACCAATCAGATTAAACTCCTTTAGCTGTGAAGTTATTCCATGTTCCTGTTACTCTGAAAATGTTCTTGGTTGAAGTTTTGTCTGTGAGTTTTATTTTTATATGCTACAGTTTTACATTCAGGTTTCAAATTTAATAATTTATTAGTTTTTCATTTTATCCATTCCTCTCCGAATATCAGAATCCTGGATTATGTCCGCTCAATTGTTCTTTTCTCAGTTAAAAATTTCAGTCCTGTTGGCCTCTCTTAAGAATGTTTTAGAGCCCTATATCCCAGAATTATCCTTATTGCTTTTCTCTGGATCTTTTCCGACACATCAGTATTCTTTTGAAGATATGATACCGAAACCCAACTGTGACTTTTTAAATGTCTAATGATTGTCGTAATTTAATAGGAATTTCTCTTTCTCGGATTTTATAATAATCCTTGCTTTTGATATAGAGCCTCATCACGTCTTCAAGACATCTCAAAGAGTCTTGAAGATGTGATAAGAAACTTTTATTTATCAGAAAATATTCCACATATATTGAAACAAAATCTTTCCACTGCGTTACAAAGACCGCTATGACTGTGTTTTAATGAAGAATCTTGCTGTAAACCTTCAGTAGTTTCTTGCTCAGGTCCAAAAGTCAACAGCAATGTTTGAACACCTATGGTTGATGTTTGGTGCAATTCACTGAAACAAAGCCCTCACCAAGCATGCATAAATGAAGATTTTTTAATATAATGTTCTACTAAGAATAGCTTAGAGCAATATCAAGGGTTTTTAAGAAATCTATATTGCATATTACTCACTATAAAGGATAATTAGCACAATTTCTTGGAATCTATTACAAAATAGTCTTAACTAATTTAAAATTAATTTCTACAATACAAATTCAGTCATTCACTCCATAATGCTCTTTTGAGAACACACACTACAATAATTTTATCATGATCAGTTTGGAATTCTCCTTCAGGAATTAGTATTGGCAGATCAGTCACATACTCAGTCACAGTTGACATATTTCCATTGGAAATCAATTGGTGGGTGACATTTGCAAAAGATAACTAATTTGTTTTTTTAAACTAATTAATCGGCGATCTTATCTCCAGTCGCTATTCAGATGACAGCAGCATTTATGTAATTGGAATAAACACACCTCCTTATAAATGAAGGTCACAAAAACACAAATAGGCTTCTTGTCTTGCCTAAATTGATCTAACTTATGTTAAAGGTAGATACGAAGGCAGATTTAGTGGAGAGCAGATTGGGGGTTTCAGTCTCAATACTGCTGGCCACTGAACCTACTAGCCTGACTGGGTGACTCTTCTTAGCTCTTAACTAGATGCAGGGTTACAAAGTTACATAAAATTACATAGAGTTAAACAGGTCATTCGGCCCAATTAACCGTTGCCAGTGTTTATACTCCACATGAGCCCCTAGTCCTCTTGTTTCCCTCTTCTATACCTACTTTAATCCCTTCTTTTCAATGTATGCATCAAGTTTTCTCTTAAATGCATTGACGTTCAATCACAGCTTCTGGCAATATGAGTTATGTCTGTTTTATATTCGGCTCCTACTGCACTAGGAGTGACTCTCAAGCGGTGATGCTCATACTTGAGCATTGCTCATGGAGGAGCCCCAGAGATCCCAGTGATTTCTATTTTTTCCTCTCACAATTGGGAGTCTATAACAACATGGTGTATATAGCTAGATGGGGCCGTGCAAAGGCACAGAACTTTTGTGATTGCATTTTTCCAATGGCTATGACCCATTTATTGGTAAATTAGTCTGTGAGCTACGCTTCAAGGTTGGGTGACTTTGCTTTTGGCATTGTTCCTGGTTCTGCTGCCGTCAAAAGTGTTCTCAGCAGGTCAATAGGCCTCTGCCTAGGAGGATGGAAAACCAGTCTCTTTTAGGCCAGTAAATTAACTTTTAGTATGTGTTGGGGTGTGGGGTTGGGAATGCGCAGAAATGTCTGTCGGGTCTCTGATAAAGAGCAGCTGATGGATGGATTGCTGTGACTGGTACCAAGATGCAGTCATTACATGTACAGACTTTGGGGGCTAAAGGGAGAAGTGTAGATAGGTTCGGAGAGAGAGAGAGCCACTGGTAAAAAGAGCTAATGCATTCTCTCCCAGAGATGATAACTGATTACTTCCACAATCTCTGAGTTAGTTGTCACTGTATTTGTCTATCTTAGCATAGAATTATTGTTACAATACTTTAAGTAAGATTGTCCTATGTACATTTGATTGTATTTATTTTCATTAAAGAAACAATTTGATTGAAACCATTATTAGCATGGTTAGTGCCCTGAAGCCGCCAGGCTGATCACTAAAATTTACTGTTTTGACAGAGGGAGATTTCAGCCCTCTGATACAACATGGGAAGGCAAAATTGAACAAAACACCTCAGAACAAAATTTAGGTTATAAATTTGTGTAAGATAAAATGAATAAGTTAAGGAACACATTAAGGAATACCGCAAATTGTACCTTTTGGGCATCAATGAACATATATCATAGGAAACTGGTGAGGATCTGCTTAAAACAGCTAAGTAAGTTGTCTGTCTGAAACATTTTGCAAAGCTGAGATATCTATACAATGAGTGCATTCACCAACATTTCCATAAAACCTTGACTGTCGTTCAAATTAGTCAAACCTGAACTCCAGTGCTCCTTTTCAGTCAAATACAGACTGATATTTAGCTAATGCTTCCGATATGAAACCAACACCCTAAGGTGTTTATAATGAAGGAGAACTAAAGCAAGCCAGCAAGATAGGAAACTATATTTTATGTAACATAGTTCTGTATGGTTCAGTGGTTGTGTGAGTGCTGTGCGGCTCATGTATATTATTTGGAGTGTTTTGATACTTTGTACTGAGTCTTAAGCCTTAATTAAATAAAAGGTCATTCTGAAAATGGAAGGTTACTAAAACAGATTGCAAAGTATGTAAGCACTGCCTGTAAGTCACTTAAGAGCTATTAAATGGTCAGAATCATTCATGGGGAAATTCCAAATTTGCATAGGAATTTATAATAGCCAGAAATGGCAAATTGTGGAACTCAGTCTTAATTTTCAAATTTGTTTTCTGTAGCTCTGCAGTTCTTAAAATGATTTACAATAAAACAGTTTCAGAATTTTCATCAATGTGTTGAAGAGGAAACTTTATGCAGGCATGAAGGAGAAGGCAATGGAGGGATATTGGAGAGGAGATTAAGAAGGGTGGGGCTTCTGTGAAGAAAAAATACCATCATAGATTATTTGAGCTGAATGCCGTTTCCGTGCTGTATTGTCTCCCGACGTGAAAGGTGTTATACAAAAGTAATTTTGTTATCTTGTTGTATCGATAATTTTCTGCAACAATGAAGGCTGTGTTTAACAATTTTGACAAATTCCCTAAACGTTTATTCTATTTATGATGTAATTTCAAATTCCAGCAATATGAGTTATGTCTCTTTTATATTAGGCTTCCTGTTGCCCTTTGAGTAACACTATGAGTGATTCTCAAATATTTTACATAATTTTACATAGAGTACATCTTTCAAATTTTCAAGAAGAAATTGATGCTTCACATTCTGAAGAGTGAGGTCTTTGAAACTCAATGTTAAATGGTGCTAGTGAAACATAGGAACATCACAAATCAAAATTACATTTTTATTTCTCCGTGTTTGAACCAAGTAGGAGAAGAATTTAACATTGATAGTCTGTGATTATTTTTTGAAATAAGATAAAGTCACAGTATGGGGGAATTCACCCATGCACTTATGTGTTGTAAAGCAACTAACTTGTAAAGATGGCACATAGAAATTAGGGAGCCTCACAACCATTATTTATTCATTGACGGTTTGAACTAATGTCCAGCAGCCAACACTAAAATACAGGCTTATGTCTGTGCAAATATACTGTGGGATTTAACAGTGCCTGGCACAACAATTGCAAATTCTGACGTTTAGCAATCTCTGTCAAGAGCAGGGTCTTAAGACATTAAGCAAAAGTCAAGCTTATTTGATTGAAATAAAATAGAAAACGGAGATCAAGTGCAATAGAAGTAAAAAGCAAATAAGAAAATTTAGGCTGCAATTAATTTTGCTTTAAGGTATATAGCAAAGTGCTTTTTTTTCTTTATTGCCCATAATGTTACTCACGCTGAAATTGATTTTCATTTTAATGGTGGCCATACACTCCTCATTAATCACCTTAAAATGTACTTCACTTGTCTATTAGTTTAGCATAATTACACCAAAATTAATTACATTAACCTCTGGCTATTGGCCACTTCCTTTGGCTCTGAAATATTCTTTCATTGCTGGGAATGTATGTTAATTATTTTGCTAAAGCTGATTAAAATTCTATCACTGGAATATTGTCCAACTTTGCAAAATGAATATTCAGATATAGGGATAACATTTGCAGTCAGGAACAAGAGTGGGAAATCCCATTAAAGGTTGACATCACTAAAAGTGAAGTGCACAATGCTAAATAGAATTTTTGCTCCACAGTGGCTGAGGGAATGATCAAAATGTTATATTAAGGCCCAATTATAAAATGTTTCTTCTTAGTACGGATTAGTTTCTAATAGTAACAGTCTGGACCTCATTGACTGTAGTTATGTGCAACTGGCATGCTCGCATCTCATGAGGCAATTAGCCCTCATGCTCAAATGGATTACTTCTGGGCCAATGGGTCACCACTGCACAGGAAGTAACATTAGTGCAGACTTAATGACCTGGATGTTGGCCATTTTAGCTTCCTGTGATCAAAACATGGCCGCCCTCAGAGGCATCAGATTGCTGATGACGTTTTCCAATTACAACATTTAACTGTTCCTAAAACTAGTCCAGTGTCCTAAGGCATCCGTTACAGCTGTGATTTAGCCTCTGTGTAGAGAAATACTTCCTGACGTCTGTCCTAAAATTCTCCTTCACAACTCTGAACGTGACATCTTGTCCTATGACCTGTGCGTAGCTGAAAATATTATTCTATAATTAGGCAATGGAACAAAAGACTGCATTGGGAATTTTGAAACAATTATTTCTGTTGAAAATGCTTAAAATGACAGCGACCAATGTTTTATAGCAGAACTTTAATTCAGTTCATAGACATTAGTTCTTATCTACTTACCATTTACTTGCAAGATATGAGTCTGGTAAAGCTTTGCATAGCCATCTGCATGACAGCTATAGTTTCCCATGTGAGTTGTGGTTACCTTTGTTATATACAGGGAGCCATCATCTCCAAAATCCTGCATGGGGGAAAGTTCGAAAAACACGACAATAATAAGCCATTAAATAAGCTTTACTCGAAAAACAAACTGTTTATGAATAGAGTGAAAACTGGATTTCTGTATAACCATGCAAGTCTTTTTAAAAATAATTGGTAATGTAATTTGAAATGACATTGCTTGAAAAATGTCACCATATGGGATTCTGTTACACAGCATGCAAATCAGAGATAAACAACATATATCATGACTGTATTTTCGCAATAATGAAATGGCAAAGATGGAACCAAAGAATTTAAGAAAGGCTCAAGAATACTGGATTTCCCAGGCATCATAAATGCTGGTTTTCTGAAGCCAGGAATAATTTCAATATCAATTTTAAAGGGCAGGTAGGAGAAGCGAATTTTTAATGGTCAATATTTCACAAAATATATTGCGGGAGAAGATATGCATAAAAAAGAATGGTGATAGCTTCAGGGGCATTCGATCTAAAATCATTCACAGATATGGAAAAATATATTTTATTTTTAATTTGAATTTTTCACCTAAATTTCAGAGGTCAGCCACTGTAAATTCATTGCTTCATAAAATAGCGACAATATTGATAATAATCACTACCCTTCCTTGACCTAAAAGATTGAATTTCACAACAAAGTAATTTCTGAAAAAAAACATTTCCTCACCCATTTACTTCTGTTGGATACAACAGTATAAAGGTAACTCAGTCTTGCTCACCTTTTGTACAGAACCTTCAGATACCATCCCCTATACTCTTTCATATCTTTTTACCAGCCCTGCAATCCCATTAATTTGAACACTCAGAAGATCAGAAGATTCAACATTCAGGCCTTTCATGCTTCCAAGGTCCAAGGTCAATAGCTGAGCGTTGGGGGTGTGTGAGTGAATGAGTAAGTGAGTGAGTGGAAGAGGAAGCGAGGGAGGAAGGGAAGGAAGGAGCAAGGGAGGAAGCAATCGAGCAATTAATTTCAATATTATGATAATGCCATCGTAAAGATGGCTATTCTGTCTATTATGCCTATGCCATGCTAACTACCCATTAAAGCCATTTATTCTGATTCCATTTCCCTGCCTTTTCCCCATTTTTTTCATATCTTTAATTGAACTGGACACTTGCATAGTTTATTTGCAGCAACAACCCCAATTAATTTTACATAAGTTTATAACCCTGACATTTATCTTAGCAGCCTGGGTTTATAATACAGAGGAAACAAGCCAGACAAGCTAACAGCATAGATTGATGAAAAAATTATGAGTCAGAAACCAGTAATCTGTCATGGGTCAGTAATATCTCTCACACTGATACTTATGAGAATAGTTTTGTTAACTAATATCAGAAATGACACAACTGCAACAGGAGTTAGCTGTTGCAAATAGCTATTCTTATCATCGTTTTTCATTGTGAAAGAGCTAATTCCATTCCAACAGTCATGCAGACTAGTCAGTCATTCACCTCATGACTGTTTTGTGAAATCTTCTTGGTGTAAATGGTTGCTTTAATGCCTACAAAAAGCAGTCACTACACTTGACAGTAATTATCAGTGAACAACAAAACAACAACAAAATTACATTTATAGAGTGCCTTTCACGTCGGGAGGACGTCCCAAAGCGCTGAACAGTCAACTGTCGGGGCCTGAGCATGGGGGATGGGGGGTGGTGTAGGGGTGAGGGAAGCCAGAGAGGTGGGAGGGAGACCAAAGGCACGATCAAAGAGAAGGGTCTTGAGACCGGCCTTGAAGGATGCGAGGGAGGAAGCGAGGCGAAGGGACCGTGAGATGGAGTTCCAGAGAATGGGAGCAGAGAGGCTGAAAGCCCGGCCACTGATGAAGTGCATTGACATGATAGGACACAATATAAAATATAAGTTAAAATACAGCAAAACCAAGCAACAATCTTTGTTTAAAATTCTCAGAGAACAGATCTATAGCTTGTTGAGGATTTTGCTGATATCAGGGAAACTAAACAAAAAGCTGACAAGTAACTCAAACACCTTGAATGCACACTTAATACATAAGTGCCTTGCTAAATTGCTGAGTGGTTAACATTTCATCAGTGGAATAAGGAGGAGGAAAAGGCTATTGTGGTGTACTTAGAGCTGGAGTGCTGCTTTACGCATTGTGTATGTTGATTTTCTGCATGAGACTCTCCTTGACAGATCTGATTGCCAATCAACTAATATTGCCTTGAAGAGAATCCATCGTGGACAGAAAGCCTGCTGTACAATGAGGCTTGAGGAATAACTGGCGATGGCAAAGCTTGACAGATTTTATGTGAATTCAAAGGAACACTGTTATTGACTCCTACTTCAGCAATGAGAATGCTGACCGTTAGCTAAATTCTAACCAAACTTTCCATAACTACAGGCAAGCTGGGATTACAGAAACTCATGCAGGAATGTCACAAAGCGATGTGTGCAATGAGAGCCCAAGCAAAGAGCTGCGTGTGTGTCCTTGCTGTATGTAAGGAAATTGAAAAGCTAGATTGGAGACTGGACATAAGTTTACATTAGTCTAAATAAAACAGAAATCGTTGGTAACACTCAGCGGGTCAGGCAGCAGCTATGGAGAGAGGAAAGTGAGTTAACGACGATCACCTTTTGTTGAAATGGAGTAATTTATAAGGACAAACAGAGAAGGGGGCGGGGAAAGAAAGACAAAGAAAAAATTAGATGGAGGACAGTAGGTGATGAGATCAGAGGTGTTGATGATGCAGGACAAAAAAAGGCAATAGTGGGAAGATTACAGAAAGAAAAGATGTGCCTGAGACCCAGAATTGTTATAGAAGAAGGGGAGGGGGGAGGCAAGGCTGAGAGAAGATGGAAGTTGTGTTTAAGGTCTGAAGTCGTTAAAATCAATGTTGAAGCCAGACGGCTGAAAGATGCCTAGGAGGAAACTAGATGCTGTTCCTCAAGCTTGTGTTTGCTTCATTCGAACAGTGTAGGAGGCCATGGAAAGAGAGGTCAGAATGGGAGTGGAAAGGAGAATTAAAGGTTCCGTCTTCTAAAACAAACAAAAAATAAAAGAACATGACATAGAACAGGTAATCTCTTCTCTCTGGTCACCGAGTACTCATCCAGCACTGCACTACCCTTTATCTGATGCCAAAGTAAAATAAACACTACTCATCTATCTCTCGTAAATCTTTGAAGTGGAAGAATTCACCAACAGCATTGTGAACTATAGGTGGGATTTAAACCCATCTCAACTTCCGTCCGAGATTTAACACTGTATCTTAGACTTTGTCGCCTTGGGATGTCCTCCCGACATGAAAGGCGCTATACAAATGTAATCTTGTTGCTGTTGTTGTCGCCACACTTTTAGTAATCACTATAGTTTCAGATTAGTGAAAACAGGGAAAGCGGAAAACTTTGCCGCCCGCATATTTATCCGGACCAAACTCCGTACCCACTTCTCACCAGTTCTGACCAGGCTCCCCATCACTAAACGGATCGACTTCAAGATCCTCTCACTGATGTTCAAATTCCTTTACTCTCTGGCAGCTCCCTACCTCTCCGACCTCCTCACTCCCCAATCTACCACCCGGCACCTCCGCTAGACTGGCACCGACTTCTTCCTCGTCCCTCACACCATCCGCCTCACCATCGGAGATCATGCTTTCAGCCACTACCCCCCAAAACTCTGGAATACTCTCCCTCAATCCCCCTGCCTTGCCCTCTCTCCCTCTTTTCAAGTCCTCCCTGAAAATCTTCGACCGTGCTTACGGCCACCTCCCCATCCCAGGCTGGAGTCAGGCTCCACCACTTTATAATTGCAAGTTGTGTGGTTGAAAGGAGAACCCCTTTGTTTCAGGGATTATGATATTCTCTAGGTTTTCTTCTAATCAAAATAGTTAATTTGAATATGTTGTGGTGGGAGTCTTACACAAGCAAATCCTTCCGAATAAATAAATAGTCTCCCTGACTGACCAGTGCCTTGGGATGTCCTCCCGACGTGAAAGGCGCTCTATAAATGTAATTTTGTTGTTGTTGCTGTTGTAGTCGTCTGACTGTGTCTATCTTAATGCATGTGCAGCCATGAGGTGAGTGACCAATTAATCAGGAGAACAGTCGGCCATGATCTAACTCGTTTGCTGGGATAAAAGTGCAAGGCAGAGTAGGAGCTGGAATAGTGTCAGTGTGAAAGATGACAACTATAGCACTACACAAATTCAGGTTAGACACTTATTTACATACCATAAGTCATATGGTTTTACAACTGGTTCTTTTACCCTTACTCTTTTTATTCAAGGTGGTGGCAGCAGTCCTGGAACTGGCTCAGAATTTGACCTTATTGGTGGTAATAAAGCTGTCGAAACTTCTCCGGTAATCAACACATTTCAGCACATATTTGAAGCACAGATATCCTTTGGCTTCAGTGCTTGCCATGGTTTAATTATAGCATGTATACTCTTGCCAGTCAATGAGGTAATGCAAATTTATGCTCTCCTGTTGCGATCTATAATCCCGTGAATGATATTCCAATGCGCCTTCTGAAGTGCTCTACTTTGTGTATACAGCACTAGTCAGAGTGGAGTTGAAAGCCTCAGCAGGTTTTGCTTCGTTTGATTCACTACTTATTTGCAATGAGCTGCTGTGGCACTGACACCACGTTAACATAATTTACCATGGGAGAGCATTTGTTATTTTCGCTCTGAATAAAAAGGACATTACGGACAGATGGGCCTCTAAATTGCAGTGATTTGATTGGGTATGAGTAACAATAACATTATTGTTACTAAATAAATAAATACCAAATAAACAAACAAACAAACAAACAAATAAATAAATAAATAAATAAATGAATCCTTCCCCACCCCTAAGTTTGTCCTGTGGATACTTTACTTTGATTCGCCCACACAATACAGTCAATTCACATTATAGTATGCTTTGTGAAGCGCTTTGAAACGTCTCAAAGATGTGATAAGAAGCTATACAAAATCTAAGGATTGCTATTATTATACAAACTACTTCCAGGGTCAGATTTAGATGTATAGTATATCACTCT